CAGTCAGAGTAAATCAGTGAGAAAAAAAGAGCTGAACATGTGGAGAGTAGATGGCTCTAGGCGACTTGGCAGGGACTGTAAGGACTTCTGTAGTAAGGCGCTGATTCTGTTGCCGAGCCTTGAGCCAGGGGCATTAAACCTCAACAGCAGCCAAGAACAATGGCAAACAGCCCCACAAATGGATGACATGTGAGCTGAATTACAATCTTTACAGCCTCAGACAATAACATCTGGAGCTCCCAACTCGACTTAAGGCTCAAGGCACGGTCTGGGTGTTGAAAGGCAAATGGTATAGCCAGAGCGTGGCGCAGGTGAGCCCCCTGGAGGTGGGGTAAGGGGGTTAGATGGGCAGATGCACTGTGGTAAAAGTGCAACCTGACAATCTGCTGAATGAGATGCTTCTCTCATTCCGATCCCGTTCCCCGAGGACTCGTTTATCTGTGGAGCAAGCCTGGCTCTTTTCTTTTTTTTTTTCTGAATCACCTACACTGTAATGTGTGTCGCAGCTCATTACTGACAAGCCTTGCTGTGATACAATCCCAGGGGGGTCTCAGGAGAAGAAAGGTGACTCATCTCATGGGGGGTCATAGGCTTACTGATACCACTGTGTATCTGCCGATATAAAAAAGTGTGTTTCTGCTTATGAAAGTTAATGCACAAATTGACCTGGCCCTGTGTACATTTTATCATGAATTAACAACAATGTGAGAAACTCATTTCAATCTGAATAACTCACATTGAAAGAGAAAGCCAATTAGAAGCATTTTTATTGATACAATTACTTTAGTATTTGGCACTCAGACCACGGCAGGAAACATTTGCTTTGATATGCATAAGCAGGAGTATAAGAATAGGGCTGTTTCCCCCCCAGGCCTGAAACTGGTGGTCGAGTGGAGATAGATGAAGTAGGTTCAGCCCATAGACTGCTGGTTGGCGAGACGGTGTACTTGAGCTGTATTGATGAGATCCAATTGGCTGCGTGAGGTGATACTATTGCTTCCCTCAGGTAACTGGAAGATGGAAGTCCAGCTTGGATCAACACAGGTTTATCACAGGAAGAAACCTTTGGCAGAACCAGGCTCAACATGGCAGTCTTCTGCCAGACTGGTTGAGATGTGGCGCGGAATGCAGCAAAAGTCTGGGAGGAATTACCCTCTGACGGGGACGAAGTAGAAGAAGCACCATGGAAAAGTCAGATGAAGCATTATGGTGAAGAAGGGGATGGAGAAGGGGATGGAGGTGGGTTGAATCGGGGTCATCTGAAACAAGTCAGACATAGCGCAACCACTGCCTGCGCTTTGGCTGGGTAGCAGACTGAGCTGTAGATACAGAAATCTTTTAAGATGAAATCTCGATGCTGATTGGGCTTTGTGGAGGTGTGGTTCAAAGCTGATTGGCTTGTCGGAGGTGGATTAGGGAAAGTAATCAGTTTCCTCAGTTGAACTTCCACCTAGGCTTCATTATTAATAATCTAATTTGTAACGCTCAAGCCTTACGATGGTCAGAGCAACAAAAATGTAAGAAACCAAAAAAGATTTTCTGCAAACACCAACCAAGCTATAAGATTTTAAAAAAAACACACCCAAATCTAAAGAAAATCAATAACAAACGAGAAAAAAACTCATGAACTCCTCCTACTAGTCTGGAAATCCATTTTAAGGCTCTATGACTCAACAAGGCAAACAAATAAACACAATAAAGAAAATTTTGCAACCATAGAAAACTGCTGAACATTTTTTAGAGTGGCTGCTACAAAAATTACTGTTAATTAGATTAATCAAAATTTCCCCACTTTCCTTGAAGGGCCACTGGCTGGTCCTTGGCTGGTTCCCTACAATTCATTTTTTAAACATTAATCTGTGTACTAAAATATTCTTTCTGTCATGATTTGTGGAGATTAAGATCTAAAGAGAAGCTTTATTTCCTGGTCAGACCCTGTAATTCAATGAAAGGGTGGAGTCAGAGTAAAGAAATATGCACGCCCAGGAGAAGGCCAGTGGCTGGAGTTGGAGGGGATTTTGCTGGGAGCTGCAGGGAAGCGGGCTGCCATTCGTCTGGCTTTTGACTGATAAGGGCCACATTGAATGGCTGCTTCTGTATCTTTAGTAAATATTTTTTTTAACAAACGTAACAAAAGTAGAACCTCTTAGAAGGTGTCCTTACATGGGATGCAACAAACACTGTAAACGGTCAAACTTGGTGGTAGTAGGGCGATGGTCTAGGGCTTCTCTGCCACATGTTGTTATCTGCTCCCCAATAAGAAATCATTTGTAGATTCATTGACCATCATCTCAGGAGGTGATACCTATTTGTTTTTGAGTTATGCCGCAGAACATTATTAGATCGCCTCTTACCTTTGATTAATGAAATCCAGAATGAAAACCTGTTGGTGTTTTTACTCAGTTTTTTATGAAACAGAAAACATGAAACAAAGAGCAAAAAATAAAGTAGTCAGTAAGGGGCAATACTTTTGTTTAGAGCTCTGTAAGTATGTGTTTGTAAATGTTGCTGTGAATGTGTTTCACATAAAGTAACTGATGGCTTTCTATCAGCCAGGGCTCTATTGATTTGGCTGGGCAGAATAATTGGATGGGTCTACAAGCTGTCATGTTTGGCCTGATTGCAGAGCATCCGTGGTGTTGTGCAGTTATCTTCTTCCATATCTCTCTACGATCCATCTTCAGCCTCCTTAGCCTATCCTGGGTGTATTGATTGGAACTCAGTATGTCTTTAAAATTAGACAATAATCTACTGTTTCAAAGCACTGTTGTTAGGAGGTATCCACTCTTCACGCCTTGCTTTATGCAGAGGGAAAATTAGTAAAGGCAGAAATGAAGCAATCTTGCTGTGGGTTTTCTTGACAAAAAGATTGCAGTTTCTGCAACATTTCCTGCAGGTCCCAGGAAATATTATTGCATGATCTCAAACCTACAGCCAAAACCTCTGGAAGATTAACATGGCGGTTTATCAAAATTTTAAACAAAAGTTTAAAAAAAAGGAACAAACCATCCTCAAATTACACTGTTGAATGAAGGGATTGAGTTATTTCCTAATAATTTTTGGCACAACCATTTTAATGTTCTTTATTAAAATTTTATTAATAAACCGACAAAAAGGTAATACCACATCATACTTTTCTAGTTCTCTTCACAAATAAAGGCCTTTTTAGGGGGCTTTGGCTGTTTGTTAGAGAACGTTAAGGAACAAACAACATCATGAAGACCAAAGGATACAACAGACAGGTCTGAAAAAAAAGGGAAGAAGTTGAAAGCAGGGTTTTAAAGCAATAATCAACCAATCCACCAAATCTGACAACTGAACATCAGTCACAGAAAAAAAAAAGAAGGATTAAAATGCCTCTGGAGGAGCTGTATTGCTCAAGTGGGAGAATTCTCTGATGTGACAGCTACTGTATAAGTTGTGAGACTCCTACATTTATGAAGAGTGAACAGGGCCACAGCAAACATGTGGAGAATGATGCTGTTCAGATAAGATCAAAATTATACCTTTAGACTACAAAGCATGACACGATGGTGGCTCCATTATGCAATGGGAACGCTTCTCTCCAATAGCCAGAGGAAACCTAGTCTGAGTTATTTGGAAGCACATCATTCAACATACAGCCAAACATATTTAAAAAAAATATTTCTATTTTTTTAAAACAAAGTGGCGTGTTTATGACGTCATCCGCGTGCGTCGGCTACCATTCATTCATCCTGTCTGCTTGTTTTACTCACATGTCTGGTGCTACTACTACAGATGATCTCGCTCTCAAAATAGAATTGAACGATTCAGATTAGCTAGAATGAATAGAAGGGGTAGAGCGTAGCCGCCTGTGGGCTGGGCTGCCTGTCACAACTCCAGTCTGGCGCGCGGATGACTTCATACACACTCCGCTTTTTTTAAAGAAAATATAAATATAAAAAATATAACCGCTGATGTCTGGGGGACAGTGATTCGCCTACATGTTATGAATGCTGGCATACCATAAATGATAAATTATGAACAGTTTAGTTTGTGCCTTCAAGTTGTTGCCCATAGGAAGATGTTACTTGGATATAACCTAACCGAATATCTTCAGAACAGCTCCAAATGGCATAAAAATTCTCATATTGGTGAGTAGAACATGATGTAATAACGTAAAATCAAGGGCCCAATGTAATAAAAAAATGGCATTCCCCTTTAAACATTTATCTAAGATTTTCTAAACTATTTACTTTTGTATAGCGTCTCTTTTCCTTTGTTAATTATGGACCAATTTTTAAAAACAATTTCCTGTTATGTAAAAACAGAAACATTCAACTATGATTTGTATAAAGGGATTATACATCTAAATCCCAAAATCATTCATCCTTGAACATACCATTTTAATATAGGGGTAAAAAAAAATCAATTTAACAACTAATACTCCATTTATATTGATTCTTTGTTTTTAATTAGATATCTTTCTTGTTCCAAATCAGAAAAAAAGACAAACCTTTCTTAGAAATATGAATATAAATCTGACAGGGGAAGAGATCATTATTGGGTTAGATCAAGGAAAGTCAGCAAGGGCCCAGAACAAATTCTGTTTGGAGCTTCACTCAGCGTTGAACTTGTTCTTTCCAATGAAGCAGACAGCTCTCTAATGGTAGGTCTAAGTGGAACCCCAATTTGGCCTGCATGAATCCAGGATTACTGAGGTGAGGCAAGAAGATCAGTAGCGACCCCCCTTGAAAGACAATGAGAACTACAGCTTGTGAAACAATATAAATTCAGTTTAAATACAAGGAAAAAATGCGTCCCCTAATGCAACCTTTACACCTTACCTTGATTTAGAACATGCATTTTAAACTAATTATTTAGTAGTTTATTCATTCAGTTCTTCTAATAATAGTTATACCGCTAATTAACTATTTTTGCATCGGATAAACTGAAAAGTTGTTTTTAAAAGTTGGTATTTTGTCCCACTTTTATTTAATTTTTGGGCTCCAGTAGGGGTCCACACTCAGTGCGGTTCCCAGATTTTGGAAATTTCGGGAAAGCAGGAAAAAATTCCTTTCTTTCCTGCCACGTCTGAGATCCCGATTCGGTCCCAGCCTTTACTTCCTCTGGAGGCTCAGTTAAAAGAAAGAAACAAACAGCTACTGGGAGAGACGATTGAATTAATTAACGGTAAATATGAGCAAATCGAGCCATTCTCTTATATTTCCTCTCTATATTTATTAATTTTTTTTTCTGGAGAGGGAAATCCGACCAGTGGGCAGAACCAGGCAGCAGATGTTTCCAGTCTCCTCACAATCAATAACTCGCCTTCTCTTTCCTTTTTCCTCACTAGATGAATATGTTTTAGTGTATCAATTTCACTCGCTTGTTCTGTCTGAAAAGCCTTTCTTTTTCACCCACTCCTCTTTTCATTTTTTTTTATTTGCAACTTCATCAAACTTAATTGTCGTACTTTGATTTTTTGGCGCTGCAGGAAGGATAATTATCAAACGGGGAGGAATTTACAAAAAAACTACTTTGCTGCTGCGGCTCTGCAGGAACGCTTTGCGCATGCAGGAGATTTAACAGTGAAGAAGGAACCCTCAGGCTGTTTATAGCGCTTTATCTCAAATATTAACAGCGAGTTTAAGTGTGTGCATTAAGGGACGCAGGTTTGCGTGAAGGAGAAAGGGCACTGTTCTGTTTGCATTAAAACTCCAAGGGGGACATTCCCTCTTTTCAGTATGCACTCGATAGTGAAGTGCTGAAGTATTGAATTTATTCACTTTTTTTCACGTTACACCCTTCAGTATCCGTTCCCTTAGCAAAAAGTAGTATACTTGAAGTAAATTCTATTAAGAATACTTAAGTATAAGTTTAGAAAGTATACTGAACAATGTACTTTTAGTGTACTTGAAGTAATACTAAAGTAATACTTCTTCGAACTAAATTGGGACATTTTTAAGTTAACTATACTTTAGTAAACAATAAAGTAAACAATAGTATAGTCAAGTACACTTGACTATACTATTGTTAAGTATATGAAATATAGTTTAAAATAAGTAAACTCTAAGTGCATTGCCTGATTTTATGTATGAAATAATTGCACTTTTAGTATACTTGAATAAACTACTTTTTGCTAACGGTTATTTGTATTTTTTTATGTTATTGACCAACCAATGGCGTAACTATCAGTAAGCAGAGACTGCAGTTGCTTAGTGGCCCCCGACTTCTTGACTGATAACTGGTTAGCCTGATAAACCAGACTAAATGTGAGATTAAATCTGCAATTTAGTCTGGCCCCGAAGAATGAGACATCGGAAGATTTTTGATGAGAACAACTCGTTTTTCAAACTATGGCCGTCTCTCAATTCACGAGGCTTGCGTTCTCGTCAAGTCTTGTCTTGTCTTTGCAAGAACATAGGAAAGTCTGGACTTGGTGAGAACGCAGCATAAATCTGGGTCAATAGGAACAGAAGCATACTCGTGACGTCACCACACGCTCTGCTTTTCTAGAGCACCTCCTGTTATCCGAGGCTGCTGTTAGCCTCGGAGGTCCGCTGGTTGCCGTGGTCCTCTCAACTTCGAAAATAGTTTTTTTAATTCCGCATTAAATCGGTAAATGGACCATATAGTGACGCATTTAAGTATTATATTTTTGCCTCAAATGATCTTAAAACGTACTTTTATTGAACAACAGCAACAGAAAGAGAACTTTTAACTTTCCATGGAGCGCTCCATTGAAAGCTGCTGCTCCTGCAGTGCATGCTACTGTGTTGCGCAGCTTTGTCGTCACGCCCTCAAAATCCCACCCGCTTTGCATACAAAAATTCAAAACACATCTCTGCATTGTGATTGGCCCGCCAGATTGGACTGCTTAAAATCAGTCCTATATCTGTTACAGCATGTTGCTGCATCATTCAGAGTGCTTCAGCATTTCTATCCAGCAGTGCTAGCCCACTAAGTCAACAGCAGCTTTTTGCAACACTAGCAATCCGTACATATCTTGTCTTCTGAATTATCTATTTTAGTTTTGTTCAATTGTAGAATATTCTGTATAGTATTCTTCAGAACGTAACATTGGCTAACCAGCATGCAACATTTAGTCAATTGAAAACATACCACTGAGGCTACTTTTTCTACTTAAATGAGTTACAAAGACCAATAATCAATGTTGCAACCTGTCTCACCAGGGAGTTTAGTTTTTCAGACGTGAATGTATGAAGGCTCTGAAACTCTTGAATTGGTTGGATGTAGGCTGGCTGGGAAATAAGCTCAGCATTTGTGGATGCAGACAGTTGTGTTGAAAATGTCTTTGCTGGCCCAAACATTAATTTTTTTTTAAGCCTGAAAATTTCAAGTGGACCAACACCAACACAACACAGATTTAAGGATGTACACGAAACGGCAAATACAAAAGTTCTTGGTAGGGACTTAAGTTTGTATAAAGAAAATGCAATTGAATGCATTGAATGAATTCAAATATGTATAAAAATTTTATATAATTTGTGTTGATGTTGTATCTAGTCAATGTTGGTATTGGTCAACAATCAAAATTGCCATACTGTTATTGTGTCAAAAAAAAAGGGATGACAGTTCAGATAGATGGACTATTTTTTTCATAGGTTTCCTTCCTTGCCCTTTGATTATTGGACACCAGGTTAGCTGTGCTGGATTTTCTTTAGGAGTGTCATGTTGAAAGGCTCTCAATTCAGATATACACCACACTTTAAGATTTTTATTTTATGATATGAACTCTTCATTTTCTTCACAGTTCACAGCTAAGCACTTATTTGTATTAGTCTGTTGCAATATTCAGTAACTACGTCTTTATGTTTTTGTGTTCTTTATAGGTTTGCCATGTGGTCCAGACTCACCTTTTGCCTCATAGTGTCTCTACATGTTCTCCTGCTGCAGAGCAGCATCACTAACTCATCAAAGAGCACCGGTGCTCCACCCAAACCATCTCTTCCTAGTCTCCTAAATGACCCGACCTGGGCTCTGGGTTTGCGCCTGTACCGGGTCCTACGCTCTGATGCAAGCTCTGTAAACACTCTGTTCTCCCCTCTTCTCTTAGCCTCCTCACTTGAAGTGCTGGCTGAAGGCTCAGTGGGCAAAACTGCCAGCCAGATTCAAGATCTTCTCAAGCCGCCATCCAAAGCCAAAGGACAGATTGGGGACCTTCTCTCTGTGGCATTGAAGACCTTTGTTGAAGCTAATGGCACCAGCTTCCAGACGCGCACATCCTCTGGTTTGTTCACCAAGCAAACTCCTGCCTTCAGTCAGGCTTTTACGAAGGTGAGCCAGAGCAGGTTAGGGCTGCAACACCACATGCTGGGCAAAGGGGACTCCAAGGCGGACCTGAAGCAGCTTCTTGATTGGTTTAAGGCTGCGCTCAGTGGAAAGGAGGGAGCTCCATTCGACGTGGAAATCAAGGCTAAAGCTGGAGCCATGATCCTGGCAGATACTATTCACTTCAAAGGTTTGTGGAAACAATGCAGTGTTGAAGCATGTAGTGACAGGGTTTTGGCGGGTCATTAAAAATCATTAAAAATTTAAAGTCATTAAATTATTATATAAATAATTAAAAAAACTATTTCAAATATATTATGTCGCAATATATTTGAGCGGAACTGCTTCCAGTTTTTTGTAAAGCTGTATGTTCGGAAAAGAAGCTCGAGGCGGAGAAAATGCTAGAGAATGAGGGAAAAGGAAAATTTTAACAAAAGTGGCTGGAAAACGAGGAATTCAAGACATGGCTGCAGCCTGTCGGCAGTAAAGATGACGAAGGATTTTTGCTGTGTTTTCATATATATATATATATATATATATATATATATATATATATATATATATATATATATATATATATATACTATAATATCTTGCTGCAAGGCAACAGCGCTACCCATCATACAATTAGGAATCCAGTTTGGAAAGTGTTTCCTTTTTGTGCATTCTAAATTGGAATAGGAATTGTAATTAAGAATTGTACATTATATTTATTAATCTCTTATTAAATACTGAGATTTGAAAATAGTTTTGGGAACAGAAGGGTAATGAAAAAGGTAAATGGAGAAGGTAAAGGAAAAAGAAAATACAACTGTAAAAAATATTTGAAATTGCAAGGTGAAAAAGAAAATGGAAATGAAAAAAGGAATTACCTTTTTGAAATGTGTGATTAGAAAAAGTTTTTAGAATGATATGTATGAATTGTGGTTTTTAAATCTCCATTTACAGTTCAAATGATTTTATAACGTATTAATAAATACAATTTAGATTCAAATTCTGTTTAAATAGGATTTATAATTGTATGATTTTAGTGCTTTATTTAAAGGCACACTATGCAACATTTTTCAGTTAATTAATGTGTTCCATAACGTTATGGATGATTAAATGAGTCATTTCAGGTTCAACAAAGGTATTCTCGGCCGCCCTGGTGGTCTGTGGGGGAAATACTGCACTTGCAACTGCAGGAGCACCGACCCGCACCCACAGGCTCAGAAGTCTCGTGAGAGTCAGTCTTGCTTTACGGCGAGAACTGCTACACCCCCCAGTTAAAAGCATTGTCGTTGCTAGCACAGTGGCAATCTTTGTGCAGTTATGCTACGTTCACGCAGCAAAAGCAGCAAAATCGCGTCTGCTGCTTCCTTTTTGCTGCTTGTACCAGTTAGTTCTGACACGCGGCTGAAGCAGCTTTGCTGCTCTGGCTGCGCGGTGCAAAAGTGTGTCTGACGCGCGTTGGGCGGAGCTTCACTATCCTTTCTCTGCCTTGCAGCTATATTTGCTGTGATCAGTGGGAATAAAGTAGTTTTAATATGTTTTTAAGTGAGAAAATACACCTGAAAACGTAATCAGTGCAGTCAATTCATTCAGATTATTATCCTGCCTTCCGTATTTTTTCTGTCGGAGCCGCTCAGTCCCCCACATACCAGGTATGCGCCGACAGCAGGGATCCCGTCATCAGCAGCCTCTGGCCGGGTTGCCTCCTCGCAGTTCACCGCGGCAGCTGGTAGGTGTTTTTCATCTAAATAATCCAAACTGCATATTCTGCCGGCAGATTTCTGCATTTTCAGTTAATTTAGGCGTCAATAAACTGTTTAAGAGGAGTGATCATCAGCGCTGTGTCTCTCTCCCTGCGTCAGATGCTTAAACGCGCTGCTTCAGCTGCTCAGACGTGCTGCGCCTGCATCTCAAAACGCGCCACGGGACCTTTTGCTGCGCCTTGACGCGCGTCAACCATTGACTTTGCATGTAAACTCGCTGCTTCTGTCGCGCCAGCTATGTCCAGTGAGAACGCAGCATTAGTCATTCGCTGCTAAGCTCAAAACAACCGCGCCTGGCTTGACGGAGAAACCAGGAGAACAGCTGTGCATATTTACCACAGTGCACTTTTACTTTCGCCCTCTGGGGGGAGCCTCCCTGGAAAATCAACACCGGTTGCATAGTGTACCTTTAAAATGGCTGTTTCTCTTTTTTAGTGACTCTCCTGGTCCTCCATAGCCCACTACTCAGAAATGAACAAAACCACATCATTGCTTGACATGTACTCTCTGTGACGCAAATGTGCACACTTTTACATATTTTCTTTTTGTAATGGAGAGTTTCACCCTTTGCTACATTTTGGTAACCTTTTTATTTGTGGTTATTTTGCTGAATGCCTTTTTTTCCAACTTCATAGCCATGATCCTTGTGTGTTTCTGAAGTATAATTATGAGCTGAAGGCTGCCCAGATTAGTCTGTACTACCTGTCTTACAAAAGTATCCGTACTGTCGAGGACCTAGGGGCCCAGATCTGCTTTATTCTGATTCAGCCCCTGCCTACATTGAGCAGCTAGAAATGCAAATGGTTGGAATTGACGTCTGTACAGCCTTTCTGATTTACCTTTTTTCACTTTTAGTTTTTCTGTCAAAAATATCAGTTTCACTTAGTTGTCGCCTCCAATAAGACTTTAAAAAGATTTAATCTCGAACTTACAACTATGGCTAGGTTGAATGTTTTCTTTTTCTTAAAGGTTTTCCCATCAAGTTCTTGCCCAGGGCTTCTTTTAAAGATGGCTCAATAAAAAAGAAGCAAAAAAACATTTTGGTTTTTCCTTTGCCAGCCAGCCAGCTAGTGACCCCATTTGGTATGTCACTGAAAACGTCTAGTAAATACTTGATCCTCTCTAGGTTTTCAAGGAATGGCTCATAGGGCTAAAAGCATTTGTGTGGATTAGTATGTCTCACTTACTCAGTTAAGAATCTGGCATGCAGTTTCACAACAGCTGTAGGTTCTCTATCTGTGGTGCTTTAAAATGGGTATTCGGACCATTATATATTTCCACTAATATGTTTTTGGGACACTTAAATGATTTGGATCATTGTTTTTTAAAGATGACCAGAGATAATACACAATCAAGTTTTCAAATGATGACAACTGTGGAACATGAACTGATCTGTAAACTAAATAACTGGTTGTGCCACTTTTAGTGACAACTGCCACTAAGTGTATTTGCAACAAGTGATGAATCTTTTGAATCTTTGAGATTCTTCTCACTTTTCTTTGCAAAAAGGAATAAATTGGGCTGCATTTTTTTTAATAAACTATGACTAGACCTCTCCATTATTTGGCATGTAGAAGTAGAATTAATTGTGAGTTCTAGATCTTTTGTTCTGATGAAAAAACCTGATGTGCTTATACTTAAAGTCTTAGACTAAGAAGGCTTATCATTCTCCTTAAGGGTTTTCTGCTAGAAGGCCACATTGATGGTTCCAATTTCAACAAGGTATTCAGACTGTGAGGAAGTATAGTAAGCCCAGACATAACATTAACACTATATTTTACAGTTGCTGTATTATGATGGTCTTGTTCTGAAATGCTCTAGTTTTACTCTTACATATTGTTACTCCTCTAGAGATAATCAAGGCTCAACGTCGTTCTTTTGGTTTTAACAGCCATTTATTGTGGACACGTCTTATAAAGCCCCAAAAAATGCCGTCAGAACTGAGAAGGGAAACAGAACCCAAATTAGCTCAAAACAAATATAACGCTTTACACAAATAAATATAAGTAAAACAAAGTCATACCTCATTGGCCGCATAAACTCCAGAGGAAAAAAGATTACTTATACAGCTTTTCTCATAAAACCAGTCTTAAAACTTTCTGGTGAAACTTCTTGAAGAAACAGGTGCAAAAAAAAGAATTGTGTCAATCAATCTTCCCATGGGCAACAACGTGAAATGCGGAACAAAAAACATAGGTTCCTCCTTACATTTTAATGAGCTTTTTTAACCAATGTACATAAACACAAATTTACTAAAAGTTATTTATTTATGATTGAACTTTTAATTTCAATACTATTATGTATTAACTCTCGTTTTTAACTAAATATTAGAATATTTAAATGAGTTGACTCTGATGGCAGCTACACATACTGTAAGTGACTTGAGAGGGTAGGATCCATCACTAAATGATTCAGCCTCATTTGGTCAACCTAAGCTACAGGAAATCACAACTAATTGAACATGCTGCCCTTAATATGTTGTGATTTCCCTATCAACTTAGAAACTGCTGTTTGTGATATGTAAATACTCATCACTACTTTGGAATTTGTGTATCTTTTGTTGGATTTTTTTTCTCCCACGGAGGTTGGTATCATACCTGTGCAATGCATACTGGGTTGAAGATGTCATTACGTTTTACTAAGCTGAAAACTACAGAGTAAACACAAGAAGGCTAACATTACCTGAATTTTCTTTATCATATTGTGTAGATTAAGACAATGCCAAACTGCATCACTACCTCAAAGCTTTAATGATACGTTATGCATGAGATTACTAGAATAAAAAAATGTGACTGGCGTGTGATGTATATTAGATACTGGTAAATACTAGTAGGTAATACTACAATACTAGGTGATGACATTGTCTAGTGACTTCTAACAACTTTTAGGACAGCCAAAAGCGACTCTCCTTTTTAAGCGTTGGTAGCAGTGGCTTTTTGTAAAGAGCTGTCAATCTGGGTTGGCATCTCCAAGCAGCAGTTGCACTAACACCAACTTAGTAACAGCTTACAATATCTTTTACTGTATTGTTTTGCATCGAAAATTAATTAAAAACATTTGTCTATTGTTACAACTGATTGTGGATCCTTACAGGAGAGCTAATGAAGTTGTTGTTGCCAGGCAACACACGAAAAAAAGAAATTTACCTGAGTCAGACCTTTATTTTTGGTTCTCTTATTTAGGATTTAATCTAGACCATTGAACGGTCTCTTTTCTTTAGAAGTTTCTCTATGACTTCTCAACCTGCTGATCCAGATTCTAAATAATTGAGGGAAACTTTCATTTTGCCTCAGAGCAGTGCTGCCAGGTGATTTCAGGGGCTCTCAACCTGGAAGGTGCATGTTTGTGCCCATAAGACTAAAAGTTACACAGTGCTGCCTTTAGATGTTTCTTTAAGACATTTCTGCTCTCATGTGTCTCCTTCCTATTAAGTCAT